TTGGGTAGGTTTGGATACAAGTGTTTCACATCTTCTTTCTGAGGCCTGGTTGATTTGATATCTAAGACGAAGAGAGTGTTCAAGATGATAGGCATAGTAGACTTGTTTCTATATAGTGTAGGCGTGTTGTAGCCATGGTTAAACAATAGTAGGATCGAGTGAGTTTAATAATTAAAGATTGCATTTTGCATATGTGTTAATGTTTGTGATAAGTATATCAATATCTGAGAGGTGTAAGTTAGGCATAGGCTTGTTGATTAATAGTTATAATTAGTTTGTAATACTGTTGCCACTGTGGCTATAAACTCCAGTTAGTTGGGTTAGTGTCTGTCCATTGTTCTAAATGTGTTGCTATTGCTTTCTTAATGAGTAATTGTTCTGTAATTATATTTGTACTTATAGTTATATTTATTGCATTAACATGTTTCCTCTTACACTTTAAGATGCTATCTATCATACATATTGTATTGTCTCTGAGATTTTGTTGCTGCCTAAGGATGTGGTTATGGATTGACTATCTTTGTTGTTGCTGATTTTCTGTGTTTCTTGCCAGATACACTACTTTCCTTAGCTTTTTTAGTTTTCTATTAGTTTGCTTGAATCTTTCTTCTTCTAAGTCCACTGTTGTTATTGTGTTAATAATTGGATTTAACAAAAGGATTTGTGCTAGCTCCAGATTAATAATATTAACTAGAAAGGGTAACAACCATGGCTGTGGCTGTAAAATCATTGTGATTACTTTATTTATTCTCTTTAATTGCATGTGTAACTCTGTTGCAGTACTGGAAAAGGGTTTAAAAACTTTGGGTGAGGTGAAGATGAATGGTATGTATTTGTTTGCTGCTTGCTTTATTATTTGTTGAAGGTTATTCCACGCTTTATTCAAAGTTAATAAGTTTGTTATCTGTTGGTAAGTTGTTGATAATACTCTGATATGCTTGTCAATATAGTTTTTAAATTCTTCTCAATTTTTTTAGTGGCTTTAGAGTAGATATATATATTTTTAATTTTCTTTTGACATAAGATGTTCAGATTAACAGATAAGGCCCATCTTGACAGTATGATATTATGGTCACTGTTCATTGAAGATGCTGATGATGCTATAGTTGGGTGTATAAAATCTAGAATTACTACTTGGTTAACCCAGATATTATCTATCTGACTTGAGGTATTTTGGTTGGTCTATACTGCAGAACTGTAGTAAACTAATTAGATTAGAGCTAATTAAATAAGTTACAAGTGTAGATAGCTTTTTCTTATTTGCATTAAAATTAAAATCACTTGCAACTATTATATTATAGTTATAGGATCTTGCTTGTTGGATCCATTGTATTATTCTCTGTTGTGCTGTGTTAGTTTTAATTGAATTTGTAGATGGTATATACACTTCAATTATACGAGTTTTGTTACGATTAGGGAGAAAAAGGTCAATAAGTAGTATGTAATCTGGAATAGTACAAATGTTGTGTATATATGGTTGTAGAAATAGTTTCATTGTGATTGCTACTCCTTTAACTGACTGTTGTAAAGATGTGTTGTATTTATTACAATTAGCTGTATAGATCTTATACTACTGATTTATTAAGCTTGCAGGGTTATATGATTGGCAGATAACTTTGTTTCTAACATAATGCTAATATTTATATTCTGCTCGATGCAATATTGTAACCAAGTTGTTAGTTTTAAATTTATATTTATACCTTGAACGTTATGTATTGCGAAACCAAGATTTTTTCTACTATTCCCTGAATGGCACTTACTATTTGAGATTCTGTTGATATCTATAAAGTTTTGTAATTCTGTTAGGGTTTGTGCATGTGAACATTGTGGATCATGCCTATTTAGTAATTCAAAGTGTGTATAACAATTATCCAATAGCTTGTTGGTAGTTTCATGTGTTTCACTCATTGGATTGGTATATAATTATCTACAATATCCCAATCGAGTGTCAGTAGGTTGAGTAAGTCATATATGTAATTAGGAGTAGCTACAACATTAAAGTAAGTGCTAATGTTGTCCATAGTATGTTCAATTTGCTTGTAATCTTTATTTGGCAATTCAAGCTAGAGGTTCGGATCTATGGTTATTAGCTGTTATTGTAAGTCTTGAATATTGGTCGGCAAAGGTGGTTTTGAATTGTCTAGTATTTTAGATCGTTCTTTTCTTGCAATTTCAATCTATTTTTAATAAAGAAAAAATAATTTCGTAGTTCTCTTGTTATTTCTACAAGTTGTGATTGGTATAGAGATCCTATTCATTAACTGTTTATCTATTTATTTATTGGATATCTGATTTTTATAAATAAACAGTTAAAATAGATTAATAGATAGATATTTGGTTATTCAATAGATTATCCAGATTGTCTATGTAAGAAATGCAGTATTATGTAAAGCATTATTTGAAAACCTTCTTGCATATTTTTATACACCCCTTGCATAATTCCACATAATTATGCATAAAACATACACAATTATGCACATTTATGCACAATTATGCAAGGTTACATAAAAATATGCAAGGGGTTTCTAAATATATTTATCTGTTTGGATATCTGTTTGGATATCTGTTAGATATCTGTTACAGATATATCAGATAATCTGGATAAATTTTTTGGATATCCGATATAATCAAATAGATATCGATCTAATAACACAAATAAATAGGTGGCAGATTTATCCAGATAGTACCTCTAGATTGGTATAGTTAAGTTCATATTAGATATCTAAGTATGATCACTCGGTAGATCCGGCTTATTGGTATAGTTAACTTTCACATATATTTTAGGTAACATATCCAGAATTCTGTATTCCTCTTAAGCTTCTGCAATAAATTGCATTACACTCATCTTGTCTGTTATTGGGAAGTTGTAACTCCTGATTGTTTTAACTATCATTGGTTGTGTTGGGAGAAATTTTTGATTTATGATGTAATCATTGGGTAATCTTTTAAACTTGTAATATACACGTAATTTATCAACCAAACTTTTAAATTTATTCACATTCTTTGGTTTGCATGGGAACAGGTGTCTTAATTCGCTTTGCAATTCTTGGGGTGTTGATAGTAAATCTAGTTTTTCTAGTGGTAGATCGAAATATATCGATAGTAATTTCTCTTGTAACAAGTAATATTTTCTTAACTCTCTCGTGTAATCTGCTAAGTATTGTAGTTTGCTACAGTCTTTTATGGAGAATATGTGCTTTAACACCTCATTTAATAAACTAGGATTGTATGGGAGTGAAATTCTTGTGTTTACAAAGTAAGTATCAGGTACTTGCTTAAATCTGTAAAACAGTCTCAAGGCTTTTACTAATTGGCCTGTCCTGTTTGATTATTATCTTCTAATGGGAGTTTAAAAAGCAAGATATCAGCTATGTCAACTGGAATTTTATTAAGCTTTATGGGTAATTCAATAAGACAATCTAGCTGAGCTTGACTTATTATATTACGTGCATTGTTGAAGTCCATCTTTGTCTTGCATAATCACCTAGCAGATTGAAATTCAATATTAAAATTTTATCTATTGCAATTTTTTTCTTTAACTTGATCTCTGTTATTTTTATTAACTAGCATAACGTCATATTTTCATTTGTAGTTTTCTATAGCAATGTTTAAAGTGTATTGAATTCTTTTTAGTAGTTAGATTGGGTGCTTTTGTCTCTTGAAAATGATTGAGAAAATGCTGTATCCATATGTTTTAATTTATTTGCTATATCCTTTGGTATATTAATTGTTGAAGTGCAGATGTAAATTTTATATTCAATGAATTGCTTAAACTGTACATTATCAGTCAATGCTTCAAGAATTTTATTATTGTTCCACCGAGTATGGTTAAATGTTTGCATTTTCTTTTTTTTGATTTCATTTACAACTTGTGCTAGCTACAGATTCTCTTGTTGGTTATTACGTGCAGCTATTTGGATATAAGATGGCTTGTTTTTACTTTGTAATTTTGTCTATTCTGTGTGAGAGATTGAATTTTGTACAATTGTAAACTTTTGTTTGTCCTTAGTCTTGTGGTTTTTCATTTTATTATCATTAGTTATGTCCTTCTCAATAGTTTGAGTTTGTAATTTATCGATTATCTGTGTATCAGTATCTATGCCTTGGACTGTGGAGACATCAGATCAAGTATTTTTCAAATTGGTTTGTTGTAGTGGTGGTGTCATATTATCTGTTATGATGATGGTGTTTTCTTCAATTTCCATGTTTTGGGTTGTGGGATTTTCTTTACTGTTTTTAGCTAGTTGGGTTTGCTCTTCATAATGTCAGGGTGTTTGTGTGTTGCTTTGGCTTTGTGTTGTCTGTGTGAGTTCAGTTGTTGGTTGTGCTTTGGAGTTAATATTAGGCATGACTTCACTCTTGATACATTTGATTGGAGGTTGTTCTTTTCCAGGTTGATGTTCTGAAACACCTTCTAGCTTTGTGTGCTCATCCGTTGACAAGGTCTGGTTTTTCCTTTTGTTGTTGATCATGTAGTTGTTCTTGTTTTTTATTTTACTTGATAACAGCTTTAAAGTTGGCTCAATAAAGGTTGTTACAACAAAACTTGTTTCCTGGTTTTTGTTTACTTATAGATTTTCATGGGTTCAGGAAAGAGTATAAATCACAAGTTTTTTAAGTTTGGAGAAGTTTTAAAACATAGATATTATATAACATATAGTTTAAAATTTCTTTAAATCTTTGATCAAAGCTATCTCAATACCCACCTGGCCAAATTTGACAAAAATTTTTTTATTTGAATTATATAGTTCAATAGAATTTAAAGAAAAAAAGATTTATTAAATTTAATCAAATAGTTGTTGATATATTTTGATCAAAGTTTTAAAAAAAAATTTAAATCATAGGTATTATATAGCAAGTATTCTAAATTTTCTTTAAACTTTGATCAAAGATATTTCAACAACTACTTGACCAAATTTGATAAAATTTTTTTTATTTGAATTATACTATTCTATAGAATTTAAATAAAAAGTTTTATTAAATTTAATCAAGTAGTTGTTGAAATATTTTTAATTAAAGTTTTGGAGAAGTTTTAAAACATAGGTATTTATATAATATATAGTTTAAAATTTCTTTAAAACGTTAATCAAGGCTATTTCAATACCTACCTGGCCAAATTTGACAAAATTTTTTTATTTGAATTGTATAGTTCTATAAAATTTAAAGAAAAAAGATTTATTAAATTTAATCAAATGGTTGTTGAGATATTTTTGATCAAAGTTTTAAAAAAAATTTAAATTGTAGATATTATATAGCAAGTATTCTAAATTTTCTGTAAACTTTGATCAAAGATATCTTAACAACTACTTGACCAAATTTGATAAAATTTTTTTATTTAAATTATACTATTCTATAAAATTTAAATAAAAAGATTTATTAAATTTAATCAAGTAGTTTTTGAAATATTTTTGATTAAAGTTTTAAAGAAGTTTTAAGATATAGATATTATATAATATAGTTTCAAATTTCTTTAAAACTTTGATCAAGGCTATCTTAACACTCACCTTGTCAAATTTAACAATAATTTTTTTATTTGAACTATATAATTCTATAGAATTTAAAGAAAAAAAGAACATCACCAATTCACATTAAATCTGGTATTGAACAAGGAGAAACATATTCCTCTCTTCTATGGAAGATCTACTATGATCACATCCTTACTTACATTTCTCAAAAATATAGCAACTCTTTCCTTAAAATATCTACACTCTCCCCACTCAATACTATTTCTAATTCAAATCCTACCTCTATTACTATACCACCACTGGCCTATATGGATGATACAGTTTGGCATTGTGAACACTCTGAAGATCTACAAAATATTTTCAATGATGCCTCTTCTTTATACAAAATCAACAATATAGAAGTCAACCCAACTAAATCT